TTACACACACTTACACACACTCGAATTTACGGAAGAATATCACTAGTGAAAAAAGTTTTATCTAGCAGCTGTTTTTCGAGGTAATATACAAAGTTTGTTGTTGTTTATCTAGCCTAGAGAAAAATATATAATCTATTTTCTTCAATCGAGTATTTTCTTCCAATGTCTTGTCTTCGCATTTTATCTTTTAAAGTTTTTGTAAATTTGAGTTTTTAAAGAAAATTACGCTATCTGCACTGTGGAATACTATAGGTTTGGCTTTCTTGAGTGGAATAAAATTAGTTCCTAGCGATTTGACTATTTATTCGTTTGAAGTTTATTAGTTTAAGGAAATTCTTGAATTGTTTGTCGGGCTTGTGACACGTACTGTGAATAAAAGTAATCTTAAAGCTTAACTCTTTTTCATCTTTAATAAAATTGCCTTCGGTTGACTTAAATAAAAAATATTTATAACATTTTACATTGTCGTTGTTATCATATGAGGCATACGTTTGAATTTAAAATCAAGATTATCAGAATTGTATAAGATACTCAAAAATACAATTTTTGGTAATCTAGCAGGTCACGTCAAATCAAGCACGTCTAATTTCGACTTATTCCCACATAATTCAAAGCCTACAAACAMTTCGCTTGTCAAAACAATTTTTATCTTTTTCTATCCATTCATTGATACGGCATATTTTGATTTTTCCTATTGCAAAAATATATTAAAAATACCGAACTAGATCCCAGAATAATCAGACTTTCTAATGTTTGTCAGTATGGATGCAGAAAATATTTGCACTGTTTTTGTTTGGCGAAATATTCGAGGAAAATCGCCGCTGAGAGGAAATTTTTCAAACAAACGCTAAAGACAGATGCATAATGGTACGACGCGCAAAGCATGCTAGTGAAGCATCCTCCTTTAGTTGAAGGTAGATTCGTAGTAAAAAAAATCAGTTATATCTATTTTAAATGTGTGTCTGAGAGAAAACCCAGTCGAAAAAGCGACTGCGAAGGGAACCGGTTGAGTAGGCGACATGAGAAATTCGAGAAAACATAGTAGGGGAGGGGTACAGCATAAGTTAGATAACTAAGAGGTTTGGCGTGTTGACATTAAGTTTAAACATTTAATGAAAACATTACTAACGTTCGATTCTGCAGATGAGAAATGCTATTGAGGAGTCAACAAATGATCATCAAATAATGCATATAGATCAGAACTTGAATTGCTGCCCCTAAGAATAAACGCCAAATTAAGAGTCAACAATAGAAACGAAAACCAGCCGAATGGAAACGACTGAGGCGAAATCAGTTAAGACAAAAACTGAGGCGCACGCGAAATCAGTTGAAGGAACGACTAGACTGCAGCAATATCAGTTTGAGAGAAAGCGACTGAAGAACGGTTAAAACAGACGGTCTAAGACAATTCCGCTCAGAGGCTATATCAAAGAATTTTGTTATAATTCAAACATTTGTTCTGGTTATTTATGTTGAAAACTTTGAAAACTTATCAGGGGCTTTATTATCAATGTCTACATTCATGAAACCGTTTTCCTCTTTGTTATATTAAGAACTGAGCAAACCTAGATGTAGTACACTCATTAATTAAACTTTGCGCATGAAACTCTACTAGAGAAAGTTTTAGGCTCTAACACATGTGCGACTCATAAATTAATCTTTGAACCTCTTTTGAACTACAGACAGATTCAGACTCTTATACATGTGGGACATATTAATTAATCTTTGCACATGATCCTCTATTAGAGACAGTTCTAGAATCTAGTGGGACTCATTAATCGATCGGGTGGGTGGGTGGGTGGGTAGGTAGGTAGGTAGGTAGATAGGTAGGAAGGAAGGTAGGAAGGAAGGTAAGTAGGTAGGTAGGTAGGTAGGTATGCGTATTTCCATTGAAACCGATAGTTGTTCCGGGTTTATAGGGACAAGTTCTTTCCATATTAACGCTCGATATAGTTGGCTCGAGTAGAAAGGTGTCTTTGCTACCAGGGACTCAGCGGCTGTATCAAAGGAAGTTATCCTCTCGCTGTAAAAACCTAAACACCTAAGAAGTCACGTTCTTATTTCAAGTGACTGACCGGTGTTCTGAAAATGGGTTTTTGCTCCTCCCCTCCCCCTCTTCCTCCCCCAGGGAAAAACCCTGGCTACGCCCCAGCTATCCTAAAACCGTCCAGAATAAAGATGATGCCCCATAACACTTTTTAAATACGTTTCCTAAAATAAAGTCAAAAACAAGAGATTTATTAAGTGATCGGTTTCAAATTTGACTTGACGTAATATTTCAAATCCGACAATGAGGACAGGACGGGATTTCAAGTCCGCGCAATTAGTTCCAGTCCGAGGCGAAGCCGAGGACTGGAACTAATTGCAAGGACTTTGAAATCCCGTCCAGTCCGATTTGGAGGATTTGAAATGACTTCTCATACTCATTAATTATTCGGGAGGGATGTTGT